AACCGCGACCCACTTGCGATCCACCCGCGAACCACCTCGCGACCCACCCGCGCGACCCACCCGCGACCCACTAGCGATTTACCCACATTGGTTTACAAGAATAAAATCAGCTCCTGCGGCGGGCTGGTTGTAGAACTTGTGTAACTTTGGCGCCTGCGGCGGGCTTCTCCAGAGTCTCGCATACAGCCGACGTTCCCACCGCCCCCTCACTCTTATCCGCATCTGCGGGGTGATATAGATTCTATAAATACATATATTTGTATGTATATATATACATATACATATATACATATATCTATATATATACACACACATATGGCGTCGCGACCCGGCGACATACTTTTTTGCGTCGGCGGCTGGGCAGGAAGACTGCTCCGCCGATGTGGCATATTAGTGGGTCACACAAAACGCGAACTAAGCCGCAGGGCACGCGGGAGGAGAGAGGAGGCCCGGCGCGGGTGGGAGGGAGAGGACGCCGGGCCCGCGCAGAACAGGGCCAGGCCGCGGCGGGGCGGGCGCCGGGGCGGGGGGCCAGAGTCGGCGGCGAGGCGGCAGCTGGGGGACGGCAGCCCTCGGGCGGGGGGTGAGGTCCAGCGCAAGCTGGAGGAGGGGCAGCGCAGCAAGCGCCCGAGGTGCCGAGATCCAGGCGGCCTCCAGGTAACCGAGGGCGGCAGCCAGAGTGGACCACCTCAGGTGAGGGGCGAGGGGCACTGGGAAAGGAGACCCAGCAGGGCGGAGCGGGGGAGGCCAGGGCCAGCCAGGGTGCCGAGATCCCAAGGACCTGCGAGGCAACCCGAGGGGGGACGGCCCAGGACAACCCCAGGGCGAGGGGGCAGAAAGAGCACAAGAAGGGGTGCAGGCAGCACCCGCGCCCCCCCCCCCCCCCCCACACGCACGCACGCACGCACGCACGCGCGCGCGCACGCAAGCACGCACGCACGCACACGCACGCACGCACGCACGCACGCACGCACGCACGCACGCACACACACACACACACACACACACACACACACACACACACACACACACACACACACACACGCGCGCGCGCGCGCGCGCATTTTGGGGCGATCGTGGCCTGGCGCGCGGAGGCGATGCGGAGCGGGCATGCCCACACACCACCGCAGCACACGCACAGTGCAACACGAGGAGGGTCGGATCGCTGCGCGGCCCCCCCATCCCCGAGACCATCTCCGCGAGGGGCCGAGCAGCAGCCCCAACGGCCTCTGGGGATCGTGCACCCCCCCTCTGCGTGTGCCCCTCCCCCCCACCCTCCCTGCAGGCATCGGATCGGGGGGGAACGAAAGGGGGAATAGCAAAGGGTAGGGCAGAGAACCAGCTCATGCAGCTGAGTTCCTCAGCGCCTCCCGGCGCCGGGAGGCGCCCATGTATCGAGGAATGGGCCCGGCGGCGGGGCCGAAACCAGCTGCATGCAGCAGATTTCTTAACCCGCCCTTTCCCTATCCCCCCTTTCGTTCGGCCCGATAGGGGCGGCAGAGGAGGTGAGGGACAAAATGGGAGGACGATGAGGGAACAGAGTGTAATGGATGCCTTCGCGATGCGGGCCCGATACGTCAACGAACCACGAGGACTCAGCTCGGATCAGATCTTGATCCATGGGCCATTGGCCAGCACGGAACCAAACCGATTGATCGCAGGCCATCCAAGCTCTGAAGAAGTTCTGGATGCTCAGAGAAAACGAACTCCGAATTGAACGCGGAGTCGCTGTTGGCTTCAACAATGGTCACCGTTGAGGTCGAATGCAGCAGTCACGGAGGCGGAGAAGGAAGAGGCGTACGACGAGGAAGATATTTCCTTACAGCCCCCTGAGCGCATGTGGTTTCCAGAATCATCATTCCGACCTTGAACTTCCCCATCGCGAACGCATTTGCCACTCCCCCGCCCCCTCCCCAAGGTCTGGACGAAGGGAGGCGCGAGGAATTAGAGCGATCAAGATGGCCCTCCACTGCTCCGAAAGGGCCTCGGATGGCCCAAGATGGCCTCCCAGATGGCTCAATATAGATCAAGCTGCCATCCAACATGCCTCCAACGTACCAGAAGACGAACCCAAGATAGCACCAAGTGCCGACGGAGCGGCCAAAAAGTCCCTGAGAGGCCATAATGGTTCAAAACACCAGTAGTTGTGAAATATGCTGTTGCCTCTCGCCTTTTGGCCTTAAGGTGCCCCCAGTATCGTCCAATTGAATCCTCCGGAGGGGCCCGGAGAGGGCTCGAGACGGCCCAAAGAGCGCTCCAAGACCCTGCCAAAAGGCGAGCTGTCGTCTTCCAAAAGGCAACGCTCATCGACACTGCCTCCTGTTTTGCCCTGTGGCCCCCAACACTTCTCCAAGAGAGCTCCAACATGGTTCCAAGAGCTCTTGACATGCATGAGTGTCGGCTTCTCTGCTACACGATCTGCTTATGTTGTTCCCCGTCTACCGGCAGCTCGCCTGGGCATCGTTTCCGGATACGCTGGCGGGGATGCACTTTTTTGGTCAGCGGCCCCAAGACGAGTGTCAGGAGGCAAAGGCGACGTCCGGGCCACGGGCGAGGTTAATTTGCAAGACAGTGCGCTGCCAGCCAGAGTTGGCGGACAGACTGCTAGCACGGGCACGCGCACAGGCCAACGCACGAAGGCGCAGTAACCCTTACCACAGTGGGCAGGTCGCTGTGCCCGATGAAAATTAGAAGGCCCCGAAGTGAGTCGCCGATGTGGCGCCAGACTTCAACGGTCGACCTGCGCAAGCCAGCCGGCTGAGCGGTCGAGAACAGTAAACAGCGCACGACAGCTGAAAAGGGGCCGAAGGCTGTACAGGCGTTGAAGGCTGTACCACTCAGCGCCCAGGCCAGTCTCAGTGATCCGCATCACAGTGTCGGGGGGCAGCCGTGCGACTGTGATCCAACCGCGCGCGCCTGCACGGTGCGACCACAGGAGGAGGGAACCCGCTGGCGTGGTGAGCATCGCCGACGGTGAAAAAAATAGAAAAAAAGGGGGGCGGCACGAGTGGTGGCGGTGCTGACTGCGTTGCCTGAAGCGAGGCGCCAGGGGGAGCTGCAATGCAGTAGGCGCTGGGATCAGAAACCAGCCACACCCAGACCGCCGCATGGCACTTCCCCAAGGCCATTGCGCCAACACACACCACGAGTCCCTCCTAGGCCGTAGTAACCGCCGCTGAGGGTGATGAGCTGGACCACGAGCAGCGCGGAACGGCAGGCCCAGGGAGGGGGGGCAGCCACACCGACGCAAGTGAGGCGTCAGGCGGGCCCCGGGGCCAAGGGCGGGGGGCACACACCGGGCCCGGGAGGGGAGAAGCGAGGGGACGCAACGCCTCCCCCCTTGGTCTGGCTCCCTGCCACCGTGGGCCAGGGGCCGTGGTTCTCCTGTTGGGTCGTCCAGGAGGTCGCAGCTGATCGCCGCTAGAACTTGCATTAAACACAACGGGGGTCGCAGCTGATCGCCGCTAGGATCCCTTTTACTCTTCTTGGGGGTCGCAGCTGGTCGTCGCTGTGATATTGAAGGTTGTGTGACCGAGAGAAGGCCCACCAGGGCCGCAACAAACGCAACAGATGTGAGCCTGCAGGAAGGTGCGTCCCTGAAGGTGGGTCTTTGGGGGTCGCAGCTGATCGCCGCTAGAGCCGATGTTGCCAAAACTGTGGCCTGAAACACAGGCCGATCCGCTGGCGCGCGGGGGGGGGGCTTCCGTCGTCGTCCCCCCGTCACCGATGGACGGATGGCTGTCGCCGTCGGACAGCAAAGTGGGTGTTCCCGGGACCTGTCTGTCCTGCGGGCGGGTCCCCTGTCGAGCAGGGGGGGGAATGTCAGGGATAGGTCCACATATCCAGTGTGGGTTGTCTAACTGTGCTGCGCCGTGGGTGAGATGTGGGGTAACTTCCGCCCCAGCGGATATTGCCCCGAGGCATTACGGTCTGAGCCGGGCGCAGCGAGGTGAAACAGGCCCCTTACGGGGCTAGCAGGGGGTGGGAGGGACGGAGCACGTTAACCGGGAGTGCCGGGGGAGCTGTGGCGGGTGGGCCCGCTAGTGTTAGCCCTGGGTGTAAGGGTCATCCCTTGCCCACCATCGGGCGCGCTTGTCCGTGTACCGGTCATCCCCCCTGGGGGAGTACCGCTTACCCTTTCCTTTCCAATCCGTGTCCGTCCATGGGGCTTTCTGCCGGCCACAGGAGCTCCACTCCTGCCAGTCCTGCCACTGGCAGGGGATGGCTGAGCCGATGGCACCTGCCCAGCGGTCCTGTGCGGCTGCAGCGGTGGCCGTTCTGCCCTCTGCTGTCCATGGGGCGGGTCTGCTGTTGCTGTCGTAGTCGCGTTGGGCGTGCGCACGGGGGTCGCGGTGCATGACCTTCATGTGCTTGTCCTTGACAGCTGCCCAGTTGACGTTGAGCCCTAGCTCGCTGTCCATCTTGTAGGCGTCGTGCCCTGCGTCACCCCATGCCTCGAGGAATTCATTGCACGACTGGCTGGCAGGGATACACGAAGCGTCAACAATATGCATAGCAGGCGAAGGGGGGGAGGCACCACGGCTCTGGCTCTTTTTCATACCTCGCCGTTCACACCGTTTTGTTCCCGCCTGTGCTTCCGCTCGTGTTCCTGCTCCTGTTCTTCCTGCTCCTCATCCAGTATATACTTAGGGAAAGATACCTCGTTACACATTCGAGCCGCGTCACAAGGATGCGCGATAAGAATGCAAGGGCCCTGGACGCCAATTTCGAAGATTTTCGAGCGGGGCGCGGCCAACGAAAGTGGCCAAGGATGGACCGAGGAGGCAAGGATGCAAGGGTAACCTTGGGAAGGATGCCCATCCTTATGATGCAGGCTGACGGGTTCTGCTGACCTCCGCCCCCCAGCCGGCTCCGACTCATTTCTGGCCTCCCTGCCGAAAGGTCACCCCGCCACCCATGAGCCCGTGGCCCCGGCCACTCGGCCAGCGCGAAGAACGCGAACGTGCCCCACGCGACCTTCAGGCTGAAGCCGCCCCCGTCGCTCGGGCGCAGCCCGACCTATGGCCATTTGCTTTTTTCCCCTCTCCTGGGAGCCTGGCCTCTAGGATCTGCAGGAGGAGGAGGAGGAGGAGAAGGCAACGGTGATCGCCTCCTCCTTCTCCTCCTCCTCCTCCTCCTCCTCCTGATCCTCCTCCTCCTCATATCCTACTCCCTGAAGACCTGGCGTCTCAATGTTTTCGAGCCAGGCGTTTTCATCCGGCTTCGGGTCCCGTGACCCTCACAGATCGATCAAGGCTCGACAAATGGCGCAAAAAGATCAGGCCTGGGGCTCCGGCCATGATTCTCTTTGATGCAGCATATGCTGTAACTACACCGGATCTCAGGGTCCTCCTCTTTCTCCTCCTCCTCCTCCTCCTTCTCCTTCTCCTCCTCCACGGACTCACTCTTCATCATCCTCAACCTTGCACTGATCCTAATCCCCCCCACCTTCTCCAACTTTCGGGACGGACGAAATGAGGGGTAGCAGACGGAGGGTCCAGCCGACTCAGCTTCTGCAGCTCTCTCTCCGTCGCCTCCCCACGCCAGAAGGAGGCGGCCGTGCATCGAGAACAGTGACCGGTGGCGGAGCCGGCACCCTCCGCACGCAGTGCCACGCAGAAGCTAAGGCAGATCGCCCCCCCGAACCACCCTCTCGTCCGACCGGATCCTCCTGGGAGACGCACCCAGCCTGCAGCGGCTGTCGGAGGGCTGTCGCAGCTGAGGAGAACGACGAGCATTCGGTACATGGCTCGGACATGCAAGACCGCCCACGCTGCACCGCAAAGCTACGGTTATGTCGGGCGTGTCCCCCTACAGGGGGATTTTCGATGAAATACCCCAACAAGGTCCAAACATACTAGAAAAATAGTCCCTGGACCATTTTGGGATTATTGTTTGACTATTTTTAGTGTATTTTTCATCTGTCGTAGAAAATCCCCCTGTAGGGGGACAGGCCCGACATAAAGCTAGGCCAGATCCCAGCACGAGCAGAAGCAGGCCTGCTGGACTGGCCCACCTTCACGGGAGGTGGAACCTTCTTGACCAGGCCCCGCGAGGAAGCGGGAACACACAACCAAAACACACTTTTTGATCTGCGGGGCGAGAGCGAACCTCTCCCGCTAAAAGCTAGGCGGGCTACGCACAGCTTTAATTAGGGAGACAGGGCACAGGAAGGCGGGGCCTCAGGCGGCCGGAGTGGGCGAACACAACCAAAACACACACACACACACACACACACACACACGCACGCACGCACGCACACACGCACGCACAAACAAACAAACAAACAAACAAACAAACAAACAAACAAATTATAGCCGGAGCGCACTATCCCAAAACAGGGTGTTCAAACCCACTGCGGTTTCCAAGGTCGATTGCGTGCCCTGACAAAGAACCAGTCCCGGGGATGATATCGAGAGGTCCGCGGGCGCACGTCTCAAAAGAAAAATCGTGACGTCGGAGGAGGGCGGAAGGCAGGGCGCGCATGACGGATGCTGAGGCGGCAAAAACGACGGCGGGGACGGGGAGGCGGAGGCAGAGACGCAGCAGCGGGAGGCGGGAGGCGGGAGGAGGCAGGAGAGAAGAGGAGCCAGGCGGGAGGCGGGAAGAGGGAGGCGGGAGAAGGAATGGGAGAGGTTGTGATTGGAGCCCCTGTGCTACGAAACGTCTCAGGCAGAACGGGCTAGACCATCTCGCACGCAACATCTTCAAGCTTCGCATTGTGAGGATGGCTCAAGCGAAACGGGCCGGACCACCTCGCGAGCGACATCTTGGAGCTCAGCATTGGAAGGATGTCTCAAACGAAACGGGCTGGACAATCTCTCGCACACGTTCTGACAAGTCCACGTCACACTCGCTTCCCGTCAGGTCCTCTCCTGCAACTCCCTTCCTTCTCCCTCCTCCTCCTCCTCCTCCTCCTCCTCCTCCTCCTCCTCCTCCTCCTCCCCCTCCTGCTGCTGCTTGCTCCCTCATCCACATCATCCTCCTCCTCCTTCTCCGTTCGATCTCCTCCTCCTTCTCCTCCTCCTCCTCCACCTCTTCATCCCGAACGGCATCTCGGAGCCCAGAGTGTCAGGATGTCTCCAGCGTAACGGGCTGGACCACCTCGCGCGCAGCATCTCGGACCCCAGAGTTGCGTCGATGTCTCGGGCGAAACGTGCTGCGAAGAAGTCTCAAGCGAAACGGGCCGGACCACCTCTTGCGCGGCGTCTCAGAGCTCCGAGTTGCGGGGGCCTCCTGGGGCCTCCTGGGGCCTCCTGCGGACCTCCTGGGGCTTCCTCCTGGGCCTCCTGTTGCCTCCTGGACCCCACCTGGGGCTTTCTGAAGCCTCTAGGGGCTCCCAGGGGGGGATATCTAACATGTGGCCGTCTGGGCCCCCCAAATGGTGGGGGCCACAAGAACAGGAAAAATCAACGAATCGGCATTGGATGTGTGTTAACTTGACACGTTCTGATAGGGGTCCTCCTGGGGCCTCCTGGGAACCTCCTGGGAATCTCCTGGGGACCCCTGGAGCCTGTCCTGGGCGTCCTGCGGCCTCCCAAAGCTCTCTGGGGCCTCCTGGGGCTCCCAGGGTCCCAGGGGGGATATGTAACATGTGGTCTTCTGATTCTGGGCCCCCAGGCTGGACCACCTCTTGCGCGGCATCTGGGAGCTCAGAGTTGCGAGAATGTCTCGCGCAGGGCATCTCAGAGCTCAGAGTTGCGAGGATGTCTCAGGCGAGACGGGCCGGACCACCTCGCGCAGGGCATCTCAGAGCTCAGAGTTGCGAGGATGTCTCAGGCGAAACGGGCTGGACCACCTTGCGCACGGCATCTCAGAGCTCAGAGTTTCGAGGATGTCTCAGGCGAAATGGGCCGGACCACCTCTTGCGCGGCAGCTCAAAGCTCAGAGTTTCGAGGATGTCTCAGGCGAAACGGACTGGACCACGTCGCGCGCGGCATCTCAGAGCTCAGAGTTCTGAGAACGTCTCAAACGAAACAGGCTGGACCACCTCTCCCGCGGCATCTCGGAATGCAAAAGTGCGAAGATGTCTCAGGTGGAACGGGCCGGACCACCTCTTGGGCGGCATCCCGTGGCTCAGAGTTTGGAGGATGCCTCAAGCGAAACAGGCCGGACCACCTCTCGCGCGGCATCAGAGAGCGCAAAAATGCGAGGATGTCTCAGGCAAAACGGTCTGGACCACCTCGCGCACGGCATATCAATTTGGAGGATGTCTCAAGCGAAACGGGCCGGACCAACTCTTGCGCGGCATCTCGGAGCCCAGAGTTTCGAGGATGTCTCAGACGAAATGGGCTGGACCACCTCTTCCGCGGCATCTCGGAGCTCAGAGTTGCGAGGATGTCTCAAGCGAAACGCGCCAGACCACCTCGCGCACGGCAACTCAGAGCTCAGAGTTTCGAGGATGTCTTAGGCGAAACGGACCAGACCACCTCTCGCGCGGCGTCTGGGAGCTCAGGGTTTGGAGGATGTCTCAGGCGGAACGGGCCGGACAACCTCTTGCGTGACATCTGGGAGCTCAGAGTTTGGAGGATGTCTCAGGCGAAACGGGCTGGACCACCTCTTGCGCGGTATCTGTGAACTCAGAATTCGAAAGATGTCTCACGCGAAAAGCCCAATCCCGGACAACTCAGAAACGAGAGTTGCGAGCTCAGGCGAAACGGCCGGACCACCAAATTTTTGTTGAGGTCGTCTCTGCTTTGAATTCCCTTGGCCGGAGTTAGCCTCCATCACAACAGCACCCCGTTCCGCAAGCTGCTTATGGAACAACGGACGAACAAGCAAACAAGCAAACAAACAAATACATACACACACACAGCAGGCATGCGGACGCCACGCGCAGGCTGCACCCGTGGCAGGTTCAGACAAGAGCCTCCATCCACAAAAAATATACACACCTTTGGCGGGCGACTCTTACTCGCGCCGCCTTCCGCCGGCGCGCAACGGCCTCGTCTTGCATCCGCTGGCTTCCGCTGGCACTCTGCCGCCTTCCGCCGAGGGGGAGACAGCAACCTCTCGATCCCGCGAGGGCGAGACCCTCGCTGGAACGCCCCACGCCGAGGGCCGACGGTCCGCCCCACCGCGAGGGCCGGGCGTGGACGAAAAGACGCGCGGCCGCGTGAGAAAGTTGGGCCTCCGGCCCTCGCCCGCCCGCCACTTCTCGTAGGACGAGGCCAGGACGAGGACACGGCCGGGCGAGGATACAAATCGGGACCCTCCGAGATCCTGCGGCTCTGGAGGCTGTCTCGGGCGTCGCGGCCTCCTCGAGAAGCGTGCCGGAACGCTCCGAAGGCCTTTCGGGCACGCTGCGGAACGGACTGCTCATCCTCGTCCTGGCCGCGCTCGAGCGCGCGCGCGCGCCACTTCGTGCCCAGGCCTCCAACGCCGCGATGGTGGACGACACGGGGGCTCTGGGGTCCCGATCCCACCCTCGAAAAATTAGCATTACTATTATTATGATCATTATTAATATGATTAGTAGTAGTAGTAGCAGTAGTAAGAGTAGTAGTAGTAGTAGTAGTAGTAGTAGTAGTAGCAGTAGTAGTAGTAGTAGTAGTAGTAGTAGTAGTAGTAGTAGTAGTAGTAGTAGTAGTAGTAGTAGTAGTAGTAGTAGTAGTAGTAGTAGTAGTAGTAGTAGTAGTGTAGTAGTAGTAGTAGTAGTAGTAAGTAGTAGTAGTAGTAGTAGTAGTAGTAGTAGTAGTAGTAGTAGTAGTAGTAGTAGTAGTAGTAGTAGTAGTAGTAGTAGTAGTAGTAGTAGTAGTAGTAGTAGTAGTCGGAGTAGGAGTAGGAGTAGGAGTAGTAGGAGTAGTAGTAGTAGTAGTAGTAGTAGTAGTAGTCGTAGTCGTAGTCGTAGTCGTAGTAGTAGTAGTAGTAGTAGTAGTAGTAGTAGTAGTAGTAGTAGTAGTAGTGGTAACAGGAATAGTAGTGAGTTCGATAATGAGATCGCTCGAATGGGATGGATAGTAAGATCAAACATGAGATCGGCAGTGCGGTTGGTTGTGACATTGGTTGTGAGAGAGGAA